GAGTGACTACAATAATGTCGTCTAGATACGCGAACGCGAAAGGTTCGAGTTCAGGGCCAATAATTTTGTCAGCAAGACGCTGGAATGTCGCGGGATCATTGGTCAAGCCAAATGGTATTCCCACGAATTTAAAAGTGCCCAAGCCTGGAACAGAAAACGCGGTGAATTCGTAGACTTCCGGGTCTAGCGGCACCTGATGATATGCTTGCTTCAAGTTAAGAGTTGTTATGTAACGAGCGGAACGTAGTTTATCTAAAATCGCGACCAAATTTGGTATTGGGTACGCGTCCTTCTTTGTTAATTTATTTAACCAGGGGAAATCCAGACATAATCGCCCTTTCCCATGCGATTTCTTAACCATTACAATGGGATTATTCCACGCGCTCTCCGAAGGACGAATAACACCGGTCTCGACCAGTGCTTTTACTTGATGCACGAGTTCCTGATGGATAATTGGGGACATCGGGTAATCTTTTAATCTGAAGGGGATATGGTCCCGGGGCCCTATGATTTTGTGAGACGTTAAGTTCGTGAATTTAATATTTTCACGCGGTGGAGGTACAAGCCGATGCACGAGTTTATCAATTACTTCGCGCTCAGAATCGTTAGTCTGTACTAAACCACAAATCTCATTTGCTTCGGTAAAATCGCGAGTTTCAATCGGGTATTGATAGTCATCACCATCTATCCACCACTCATTTGCTTTACCATCGAAGCCAAAACCAAAAATACGGACAAAGTCCATTCCTAATAAAATGGGTCTACTCAAACCAGGGGTTACCTGAAATTCTACCACCCACGTGATGCTTTTGATCGTAATTGAAATTGATACATCCCCCGCTACGGTTTCGGCCTGCCCATTAGCCATCGCGACAATCGACGATGCGGGTGGCTTGACCTTTAACCCGAGCTTTTTCATCCACCAATTGGGTATATTTCGAAGACACGATTCTGTAGCTCCAGGATCCATTACAGCATATAATTCGGATGAACCTATTGACAGCGGCAAGGAGATACGCGCCCCCAGCGGCTTAGCCGCGAGATGACCCGAACTTGCCGCGAAACTCTCCTTTCCTCATGACGTTACGGGAGCTCCCGTAACCTCACTTTTCCTACTGTCGCATTTTGTCGTGGTTTCATCTGCCGTATCGGTGATCGGCCCTGCGGAGTCCTTGCGACCTAACCGTTCGTAAGTAGGTGGAAAGTCTGTTTCGTTGTTGTCAAAAGTTACTGCAGTCCCGTGATTTAATTTCACGTTCGAAATTTGAATTTTATTATTAACAACTGGTGAAGAATTACTTGGGGCAGCGTCTGAAGATACGCTGTCCCGGTTTGATTTAACGAGACGTGAGTTGTTCTTTCCGGGATTGGAAGAAAGCCACGTCCCGTGGTTCTTGTCAACCGTGATAGATGAAAAGTCCATTGTATTATCCGTAATCTGATCCGGAGACATAGTCAAGGTCGGTTTAGGGGATTGAGAATTTAAAACGCGCGGTTTTGGAAGATTTGGGGTCCTAGAAACCTGGGGATACAGCGCGGGACCCTTCATTGCTGCGCTCCCTTTGCGTTTTCCCCTGACTCTGCTTTCTGTGGGTGATTTGTACAATCGGAGGATCTGACACCCCTTTTCCCACACACGTAACAGTAAATTTCGGTCTGCGGAATTTTACAATTCCTCCGCTTATGACTGTTCTTCTGACAGTTGATGCAAAATTCCGCCGACTTAGAAGATGTCGCTGTTGCTGGTGGTGTGCCAGACTGAGGGGTTTTAGCTGGGGACCTCCGTCCGGCAGCTAAAAAATTTGTTTTAGGCTTTGCAGCTTTAGTCGCCACTGAGTAGGATCGTGCTGGCGAAGCAGGAGGCTGAATCGCAGGAGCTTGAGCAGCAGCAGGGGCTGTGTGTCTGGAAGGTCTCCGAGACTGACTTTTCTGCTCGGATTTCTTCGCATCTGTATTTACTTTTGCGGGATTTTGAGGGCCGGTTGCCCCACTGACCTCATTAATTTGTTCCACAACCACTTTACCGCCTTTCTTCGCGTAGCGCGATGGAACACACGCGCGATGCGGGTGAATTGTCTCGTGCGCGTCTGGAGGTCGTTTCAGTGGATTTCGACTGTCCCTCCAGTCGAAATCTAACACGAGATTTTCCAGTTCATCAAATGTAGTGAAATCATTGCGATGAATCATCAGATGATACTCCGGATGCAAATGATTGTAAGCAATGTCAAGGCGGGCTGCTTCCGAGAAATTGGTATTATTCGATAAGCGCCACATTAGACGGACTGTATCTAAATAGTCTGCACCGCGTTCGAGAGGCCCTTGGGTCCTGTTTACGATGTCGACAATAGCTCGACAACGCGTATCAATCGGACTGGAGAAGCGATTCAGGAGCGCGGAGCGCAATTTTTCGCAAGTCTTCAAATGGTCGCGGCGGTCTTCCCACCAGTTATACGCGACCCCTTCAAGGATTGTGGACAAAACTTGAAACAATTCATCGTCAGGAATACCACAGGTTTCCTGATGCACTATCAACTGACGGATAAACTCGTCGATACTCTCATGAGGTAACCCAGGAAAACTCAATTTCCATCCCAGAACGCGATCGAACATGGCAGCCTAGGCGACCTGGAGAAAGATGATCCAGTCTCGCGTCTGTTGGAGTACTAGCCGTGAAATATTGGCTGTTGCACCAAAAACCCATTACTGGAGGAGGGACACCCGGGTTAAATCCCGGAGGCACTGTAGGTGCTTCAGAAGCAGTTGGGTCTGCAAATGTGGGGTTTGTCGGTGCCTGACTTTCGTGCGCGAAGTGAACGCGACGGCTTCGACCTTGAGGTCGTGAATAGGAGTCGAGGAGGAAGGCAATCTGTTCGAGGATCGTCCCCTCTTGATTAATATTTAGGGCCTTTATGGTCACCGTTGGGTTTGCTTCGGTGTAACCAGGCCAAGTGCGAGGAATCGCCGCGTTACCTCCGTAAAGTGGAGGCCCGTCGGTGTCATTAGAATGTCCAGTGGTGTTTTCCTCTTGCGCGGTTTGCCTTGAGGGCCTGGGTGTATCGGGACCTTGTGTATGGTGTCTGGTACTTTTGGTCAAAAAACCTTTCGTCCAATACCTTTTCGTCCAATGAATTTTGACCCAAAATCATTTGGTCCAATGACCCAAATCGTCCAAAAAAAATTTCGTCCAAAAACCATTTCGTCCACCAAAATAAACGTCCAAAATGAAAAAAGAGACAGATTGTAACTACTACATTCCAACAAACTACATACAGGATATAATACCATTTCTCGTTGTAAGATGACAAACAGCGAGGGTAGAACCGCTAACCACGATGAGTAAACACAGCTAGACAGTGCTTAGCGGACAGCGGCCCGAATCACAATAAATTCAAATTGCGGTGATAAATAGTAGTAGTTTGAATTAATTCAAATAAAAGTGACTGCCATGAACAAAACATGTGTAATTGAACAAAAAGAACAATGATGGCGAACGAAAATATAGAATACAGTGAACTAGTGCCGTCAAACCGAGGCCACGGTAAGCTGGTAATCCGCGGACATTTGTATATATTGAGTGACACGAAACAAAGAAAAAATGGAGATACAGCTTATTACTGGCGGTGTGATACGCGTGAGTGCAGCAAAACTGCAGTGACAGTGCTTCAGAACAATCGTCATCCCCTTTAGAATAATCCGTGTCCGTAACCCTGGTTTATGTTTGATTTTTACGTTATTTCTTACCTCCACTCCCAATGAATTATACATAGGGTATACTCATTTGAAAGCTTATTAAATAAGCTTCAATTTGATACCTGGTTCATCCAATTCTATCGATTCCCCATTGACTTATGCGAATTTTAGGCGGAAATTGAGTTTTCACCTTTCATGTGAGAAATTAGCTATGGCAGTATTTTCTCGTACTTCTAGGTGGACTAGGTTGAAATATTTGTCAATCGTTTGTAAGAGTATTCTATAATCTTCAAAATGGTCTCTCAGAATTGCGATTCTATAGGAACTTTGCGGAGTTATCGTGGATTATTACCGTTTCTTTAATTATGTCACACCGGAAAAACGACATATTTAATCAATTGTCATGGTTTTAATCTCTATAAACGGGGATGAATCATAAGTAATTTTAAAGGTCTCTTCGAGATCTTCAATTTGATCTATCATATTAGTTATTTTATCCAGTAGGTAATTTGTTATGAACAATAATATAGTGATTTTAGCATGTCACGTTTTGGAATTTTCAATTCTTTTCATCTTCATGATGAAAAATTTTCCGTTCCTGCTTCAATGCCTCAGAATATTTTGTGTTACAAAGTGAGTATATAAAATTACCTTTGATTTGAAACCTGACCTGTCCAAATTGATCAATTTGTCTCCGAGTTATAACAGCTTTGAGCAAGAAATCACAGTTTCACGTTTTTTCTCTTAAAAGTGATTTTGACTACATTTTTGGGTATTTAACGTGGACCAAGTTGAACAATTTATGTATCATTTTGAAGAGTACTTTATTATCTTCAAAATGGTGTATGATAAAGCTGATTCTATGGCATTTTAGAGGAGTTATTGTAGCTTATTCCTGTTTCTTCCGTTATGTCACACCATAAAAATGTCATTTTTCATCAATTACTGTGGGTTTAATCTTCATGAGCGGAAATAGATTGTACGTCATTTTGAAGGTCTCGTTCAGATCTTCAATTTGATATCTGATATTAGTTATTTCATCCAGTAGGTAACTTGTTATTAACAATAATATAGAGATTTTAGCATGTCACGTTTTAAAAAATTCAATTTTTTTCATCTTAATGATGAAAATTTTTCCATTCCTGTTTCAATGCCTCGGAATATTTTGTATCGCAGAGTGAGTACATAAAATTACCTTTGATTTGAAACCTGACTTGTCCAAATTGATCGATTTGTCTCCGAATTATAAGAGCTTTGAGAAAGAAATCACAATTTCACGTTTTTTCTCTTAAAAGTGATATTGACTACGTTTTTAGGTATTTAACGTTGACCAAGTTGAACAATTCATGTATGATTTTGAAGAGTACTTTATTATCTTCAAAATGGTGTATGATAAAGCTAATTCTATGGCATTTTCGAGGGGTTATTGTAGCTTATTCCTGTTTCTTCCGTTATGTCACACCGTAAAAATGTCATTTTTCATCAATTACTGTGGGTTTAATCTTCATGAACGGAGATGGATTGTACGTCATTTTGAAGGTCTCGTTCAGATCTTCACTTTCATACCTGATATTAGTTATTTTATCCAGTAGGTAATTTGTTATTGACAATAATATAAAGATTTTAGCATGTCACGTTTTGAAAATTTCAATTTTTTTCATCTTAATGATGAAAATTTTTCCATTCCAGTTTCAATGCCTCGGAATATTTTGTGCTACAGAGTGAGTACATAAAATTACCTTTGATTGGAAACCTGACTTGTCGAAATTGATCGATTTGTCTCCGAGTTATAAGAGCTTTGAGCATGTTCATGGTTTTTATCTTTTAATTGATTTAATTGATTTTGACTACATTTTTAGGTAATTTAACGTGGACCAAGTTAAACAATTCATGTATCATTTTGAACAGTACTTTATTCTCTTCAAAATGGTGTATGATAAATCTGATTCTATGGTATTTTTGAGTAGTTATTGTAGCTTACTCCTGTTTCTTCCGTTATGACACATCTTAAAAATGACATTTTTCATTAATTATTGTAGGTTTAATCTTCCCGAACGGAGATATATTGTACGCAATTTTGAAGGTCTCGTCCGGATCTTCAATTTGATACCTCATATTAGTTATTTAATACAGTAGGTAATTTGTTATGGGCGATAATAAAGTGATTTTAGCAAGTCTCGTTTTGAAAATTTAAATTTTATATTCATTTTAATCTTGAGAATTTCTCGATTCCCGGGTGAATCAATGAGGTGTAATTTGAACATTTAATTCAATTTTTCGATCGGTGAATAACATGATTTAGCGCTCAATGATGGTGTCTCCATCTATTGTTTATGGAATATTATTATTGGATCAATAACAGTACTGCAGTGAGTTAAAAATCATCTTTCTTCAAAATCACATATCACTGAAGGAAATATGAAATAATGTGTATACAAATTGTGCTTCAGTGGAGTGGGTTTGGAAGTCACATTTTGTAATTTTCTTTTTTGTTAATTTATTTCAACTTTTTGGGAATTGAATATTTTTTACGAATGAAATAATGAGATTGAAACAAGATTAATTAGTTGAGATTATTGAGATTTGTATTTGAGAATTGAAAATGTCTAACGAAAATGAGAAAAAAAGATTATTTGGGATAAGTCATGAAGATTTAGAGAGTCATGGTGATGAAAGTGATCAAGGTGAAAGAGATGATGAAAAAATACCTAAAAGTGATGCTCAGCGATAACGGGACTGTAGGAAAAAGAAACGTATCTTGGAAATTGAGAAGATTAATTTGATCCGTGAAAAAGCTAAGGAGAGGCAACAACGATGCCGTGCTTGTAAACGAAATGCAGAGTTTGGTTCAGAGGAGAAAGTGATGGATGAAAATCCTGATCCCAGTGGTCAAATAGGTAATAATACTAATTTGAAATGTCAGAAGACAAAATGTTCAGAGACGGCTGCTGAACGACAACGAAGATGTAGAGCGAAAAAACATGCGTTGGAAGTGAAGAAAATTATTTTAAAACGAAAAGAAAATAATGAGAGAAAGAAACAAAGTCGTGCACGAGCAAATAATGAGAAGTTTGTAATGAATAAATTATCGATTGGGAGTCGCGATTCAGAAACACAAACTGGTGTGAATAAAAAGTTGATTGCAACCAATGCTCAAAGGCAACAACGCTGTAGATTGAAAAAAAGTATATTAGAAGGAGAAAAACAGAGATTAATAAATGATAAAGCTGAACGAAATGCAAAAATTGAGCAAAATGTACGAAAACAAGCAAGTTATCGTGAAAGAAATAGAGAGAGTGGAAATTTGAGTAGGAAAAAGAGAGTCTGTCAGATGCTAACAAAATATTGTTTTGATGACGATAATGGACGTATTAACGATGACGTGATTGAAAATTATCTCGGTCCAATGGAGGTACTATGTCGGCATTGTACCGCGAAACATTTCGCCGGGGAACGGGTTCATACTAAAGAAAAAGATTCATTCAATGACTGTTGCAGTCATGGTGATGTAGTTGCGCCTAACTTCACCGATTTTCCGGAAGAAATTGAAGAACTATTCAGTATAGAAAACATAAATTCGAATG